TAGTAGACAGTACCTACAGAAAAAGAAGATGACTACCGTAAGTTACTGTGCTGTGTTGTGAATTAGGTACAAACTTTGTTCGACCTTTTCATAAACTTTTATAAGCTTTGTCCCTTTATTGTACTAATTTCTTTCTAACCATAAAGTCTTTAAAGGAGGGAAGTATCACCAGGGTCTTTGTCGTGGAGTAATATGCACCCCGATGCGCTTCCCCCTGCCTTAAAATATCTCCGATTTTTTCTATTGTCCGAATGATCTGAAAATATCATACAGAAATATATAAATATACGACATTTTCAACTCTCGGCCAAAGGTGTGGTTCGACGCGTGCGCCCAGAGCTAGGTGGTTGAGTGTAAGCAGCCACCGAATATGCGAACCGTGAAGCTAATTACACCAGGAGATAGAGAAGGGTCAAGTTTTCGACAGATTAGTGTATTTTCCTTCTCCTAGAGGTTGAACGGCAACAGTGTAAGCCTTCATGGGCAGGAGTGGACCAACTCAGCCTGTCCTAAGCTTGATTTTTTCAAGAAAAGTACTTACTACACCCTAAAAGTTGGCTGTATACTACGACGAGGAGTATACGAGGGACAGACAGCTAAAGAGAGAGTAGCGTATAGTCCGGCAACCCGTCATCCTATAAATTGCACCAATTATAGGAAAACAGATATCTTCTCTAGCACTTTTCGAATTGTGAAATGCCCCCATCCACCCGCTTTACAAGGTCAAATAACCCGATTCCGGTAGAACCTCCTAATCCCCCTCACACGCACACATCAAACTCCAACAGAACAGTCAACGACAACTTAGGCTTTCCAACCCTACCATCCAATGCAAATACAGACACAGGTACCATCACACCCACACCCACCCTACACATTCCACAAGATACTACAACCACCATCATGAATACATACACCGATTCCTTCGTGTCAGACCTAATAAATATCCTACCTTCCGACCAGATAGACCAGTTGATCACTATTTTGCAGCTGTTTCGTGTGTCTATCACCCCTATGCCTACAACACTCTCGACCACTACATAAGCCTTCACCTTACAACCCACAACAATACAAACCACATACATCCAACCTACCCCAACAATATATACAAACCAGATATCAAATACACTCATTCATACACCGTTATCATATGTAACTGCTATACATTCTCCTAGACCTCAGCCTCCTCCTTTCTCCTCTACCCCCTTAACCTCAGCAAACCAAACTGCATACCCTAAATCCTTTGGCTACACCATCACTCACATCCCTCTGGAAACGTCCATCCAACGTGACTTCTTCAGAATTATCAATACACGCGAACAGCTCCGCCACAAAATAGCCTCCATCAAAGTCCTTTCCACATAAATTGCACACCTCACCACGATTTACTCCAGCCACTTCCACCTTCTTGGTCGTCGTTAAAGGCGTAGATCGTACGCCGACCTCATCGCCTCATTCACCGAGATGAACATCCTCGTAGTACGGCTATGGCGGATCATATCACGATCCAACACATCAACCACCTTCGTAAAGCTTATTACATCAAGTGAAATTAAATACACACAAATGCTTACACGAGGTGTTTTCCTGGATGGGCTATGTCTTTATGTAGAGCTCCCACTCAATGCCAATCCTGTCTCCAAGTACTACGGCAAATGCTGTCAAAATGAACACACCATTTCGGAGTGCCCACAAAAACAGTGCAAATGCCCTACTTGCGGTCAAGACCACAAATCCACCGCATGTCCCACCCCACAATCCCCAAAGTGCCCTAACTCTGGTGGAGACCACAGGGCTTACTCAGCTAAGTGCCCTCGCAGAAAGGAAACTACAAAAACTCCCCAAGAAACACAACCCATCACAACCCCTTCATCAAACACATCCTCCTGAAATATAGCATATAAATCCTTGCCCTCTCCGATACCCATTCCAAATTCGATCCCATTTTCTCTGCCTACTGTACCCTACACCGCCCCCGCAGCCAGATATCTCACGGTAATGGCGTCCTCATTAAATATGGAATCACATTTTTACCTCACACCATTCGTCCATATATAATCCTTAATCATGAAGACTTCCTGGCAGAGGACATCCACCTTGATAATAACACCACACTTACACTAGTCTCTTATTACATACATCCTCTCCAACCTCTTTCCCAAGCATTACTTGATTATCTCTCCAGCCTGAATAAGGTCATCATTATTGGAGACTTAAAGCCAGACAAGCACAATTTGGCTACACGGCAAATAACCGTGCAGGCATCCTCCTCTCAGACCTGCTCCTTAACCTTCCCCTACACCGAATTCGTAACCGTGAGCCGACTTTTATGGATCCCATAGGCATGTTGTCCATAGGTATGTACTTACGATCTGATTGATGTATTAAACGACGAGAATCCTTTACTCCCTAATCCTCCTTAAACAATAAGGGACTACAAACACGCCGACTGGAACCTCTTCAAAGACTTTTTGTCCGCTAACATTCCTTAGTTAGGTAATTTAAAGTATCCTGATGATATCGATCATGGTATCGTAGTTATTAACGAACTGATAAATCAAGCATTGAAATATCAGTCCCCAATAGGGCCATTAACCCGAGGAAACCACCACTTTTTTCCCACATAATTAACTAAAGCAAACAAAAGTGACGACTCCTTCGTCAGTTTTAACGCACCAGCAACCTCCTAGTCAAAACAGAACATAACCACCTGTCTGCGGTGATCAAACTACAGGTTAATATTCTGCAAGCCAATCAATAGCAAGCAGCTACCTCTAGTCTTGATTATGGTAACGGCGGTGCGTTTTGGTCCAAATCTTAACTAAAAAGAAAACCAACAACCCTTCTTACCTTGTGGTGAACAATCAAATCATCAACTCAGATAAACAGAGAGCCGACGCCGTCACAATACATCTACAAAACACCTTAATCACCCCCAATGACCCCAGATTTGACCACGTTTTCCGTGTAAGAACCGAGAGAGACGTAACAAGACGACTCGCCACCCCCTTCGATCCACAGGAACCGCATGAACATGGCACCTGTGCATCAACAAACTTTCAAACATTTCTGCCAAATTGGCAGATCAAATGCACCGGGACCTGACAACATAGCCAGGTACTGCGTGAAACAACTTCCACCGAGCGTCACACTCTACCTGAAGAAATTTTGTCAATGCCACTCTTAGACTCTGCTACTTTTCATCCCCATGGAAAGAAGCTAACACAATTATGCTCCAAAAAAGGGCAAACCCAAGACCTCTTATAGGACGATTTCATTACTAACCATCTTGGTTAATGTCTTCGAGAAGATCCTTAAGGAAAGACGTAGACTTTACAACACGAACATAATATCATCCTAACGTTCCAATTCGGCTTTAGAGAAGATCACTCCACCACAACGGCATTGAAAGAAATCGTCACACATCTCACTTAAAGTCTAAACGACGGCAAACTTTCACTAGGCATTGTTCTCGATGTTCAAAAAGCCTTTGACCAAGTCTGGCATGCTGGACTGATCAAGAAACTACTTAACCTCGGCCTACCATTTCCATTCGTTAGACTTATCCATTCATATGTCACTTAACGTAATATCACGGTAAAAATGCAAGGTTTCTCAGCCTCTTTTATTCCCTCAGCAGGATTTCAGTGAAGAGAAGGTTCAGTGTTGGCACCTATACTATATACCATATACAACTGTAACCCACGAAACACTCGCACCCTCACTTTCCTCTACGCAGATGACACCGCTCTCGTAACAACTTCTCGAGACGCAGGTGCACTACTTAGGTTTGTTTAAAATCACCTTGACCTGGTCGACAGGTGATGCAGGAGATAGAGAGTAACACCTAACCCAAATAAAACTCGAATGATTCTCTAACCACCCCAACCTCAGCAGATTCACTACATACAATATAGCCGGAAGAATCGACCTCAGACTCTGGGGCGACCGACTACAACTCCGTAACCAGATTAAGTACCTCGGTGTAGTGTTCACAGAAACACTAAACTGAAGGGCCGATCTGGCTGCAGCCTGTAACAAGGTTAGGAGCAGATTAGCATACATACAAAAGATTTTCAGGCCGGTGATTGAATATAGGTCTAATCTTTATATTATGTTCAATCGCCGCCACACATAACATCTGCTGGGATTGGAACGGGGAATCCTGCGTAGAGTAAACAACAAACGGCACAGCTACCCCTCTGCCTTCGTTCATCAACTGTCGAATATCCAGCCCATCAATGACAGGCTCTCCTCTTTGAACAGGAGTTCATATAATCAAAACCATCCGTGGCCAAAGCTTCAGAGCCCAAAATATCATCCAAACTACCTGCTCATCCTTTAGCAATGTATTCAACAGACACCCTAAACGCAAACTCCCATTCCAACCCAATAAATGATTGACCCTTGCCAGCAACGAACTCCCTGATGAATACATTGATATTTAGGAGGCAACTCCACTCTTTTATCGCCGAAATTATTAAATTGCTCACTTCGAGCGTGCTATGACAGGAAGGGATTTTGAAGTGTATGAAGGAGTCCTGAAGAGGTGTTCCATCTATAACAGGACAACAAAATCATCAACGAAGAGAATCAACAAATAGCAAACAACAACGAGACAATGATCGAACTCTCGGCCAGTCTGGTCTCGGCTCCCATATAGGGTCTCATGTACCATGGGAGTCCTTCTTTCGAGGCCGTTTTTCAAAGTGACATTCTATATTATTTTTTACACATTTTAGTTTATTAAAAACGTATTTACTATTAAACTTATTGACTATTAAAAAAGTATTTAAGAAATTGGAGTACGTAGTTTCCTATTCATACTGCGGATTACAAATTAGCTCGTACAAAAACATTAAAAAGTTTCGTGTGCTTAAAAAAGTTAAAGTTCTTCATATTTATTATCTATTAAATAACCATATTAAGAAGAATTTATTAACATACACAAGATAAAGTAGTAAAATTAGTAGTAAAAAAAATAGTATTTTTTTACGTACCTACACATTTTGGATCTTCTCCCAATATTGGTTTGTGATCGGGTGTAAATGATTCTGGACCACAAATGTCGGATTTTATACCAGCTTTCTCAAATTCTGGGCAAAGTTCACAAGCATGTTTCCAGTGTTGATCAAAAAGGCTCATGTCCAACTCGTAAAGATGAAATTTATCGTCTGGTAGCTAAAATAATAGCATTATAAAGTTTTATTAGAAAACCTCAAAAAAACTTATAGACAACAAAATTTGAGAAGTTTAGTAGCGAGCACATAGCATTATAATTTACATAATGTGCTATAAAATATTATTAAATAATAGATTGAAATCATAAGGCTACATCGACATTCACAAACTAAACAGCAATTTTTTATATCAAAATTCCTCTAACTTTACTGAATAGACTCAAAGCATTAGATATATAGTGCTATAGACGCATATTGATAATTACTTTGACAACCTACGAAAATGGTTTAACTTGATCACTACCGTACTTGTTACAACAAGTAGAAGAATAGTATGGCGGTACTGCTGAGGTCTCAGGAACCGATTGGTAAAAACAATGTCGGTTTTGTCTCCTTAGTTATCCATCCCCATCCCCATTTAATTTGGATTTAGCGGTAAATAAAACTTTAGCTTAGTCACTTTTACCAGTCCTAATATTCTCGAAACCACGTTAATCTTGCAGCGTGATTAACTCTGGAAAGAGATGACACCTGAGTGGTCTTTGACTATAAAGGTTGACTTCATTTCATTAGATAGTATCTCGACTTTCAGTTACTTGTTGGGACCACTGTAAGCCGGTAAATAATACAGTTGTATTGTAGCAGCTAAAACGAAGCATCAATCTTAAGTTATAGGTTTAATACTTCTTTTTGTCTGTATGTTGCTCAGCTAGACTCCAAGTTTTCCAAAAACGTCATAGTCAACTTATAACACTGACTACGTCAATTTGCCGCATGTTAGTTTGAAGAAAGCCTACACCTTTATTTATTCCGTTCAAAGTTAAATGATATCGTTCCATCGTAAAACACAGTATTTTTAATATTCCTACAAAACAAGTAGGTAGCATAACATTAATAAAATCGAATCTACCTGATAAATAGGGCCCGGTCTTAAAACATGTTAAGTGACAAAATCTAAAATTTTCAGGTGTCTGCATGAATAACTTTAAGTGGTGATATTATAGATTTCGTACTTTTAATTCACAGTATAAAACATAGTCGCTGACTGAAAACACCGACAAGCTGTTATGTGACATAAATATTATTCAGTGTATGTCAAATTTGTCAACTGCTGTCAGTGTACTTAACACGTTGTTGATCTTGTGTCGATTAAATCATTAAAAATGGCAGAATATACTTAATGTTTCCTCACCCATTTCCAGAAACCATTTTAAGGTCCAGATTTCAGTAAAGGAGAAATATCGTCAGACAGTTCCAAAATTGAACAAGTAAGTTTTAAGGTTCTAAATTTTCATGCAAGTAAAAACTGTTAAGTTATGTTAGATATGGGCTAGGTTTTACTTGCAGTAGCAACTACTAACATACAGAGGAACCAGTGATTTATACTTACATAAGTTATTGACCCTTCTTGTACGTGCAAAGAAAATGCTTGGATAAGATCTAAGGCGAGGAGCGTATTTATACAAAATGCGTAAAGATAGTATTAAACGCAAGACTAGAGAAGTAAATACAAGGACATCCACTATTGAAAACAGTATTCAAACAAATAACCCGAGATTAAAAATTTGCAAACAAGCTTTTATTTCTGTACGCGGAATTGATAGAGACCGAGTGTATTGTAAATAAACTAAGAAACGAAACCATTCCCGAAAAAAACCAAAGGAGTAAACACGGAAACCAAAAGACGAAGTTTTCGCAAAATGATATAGAAACAGTTCATCGTTTTATAAATTCCATGCAACGATATGAAAGTCATTATAGTTACAACAAAAACTTGAATAAAGAATGTAATGAGTCTGGAGTAGATATAACATTGAATTACTATATGAAAGGTACAATAAAACTGCCAAAATGAAAATCTACTAGTTATTACTTCAAACAAATTCAGAAAAAGAGAAGAAACGTCGAAAAACTTTAGAAGCAAGAATGTTACAAATAACTACACTTAAGGAAGGCCGAAGCAGCGAAAAACATTCTTGAGCAAGCTGCGGAGGAATCCAAAGTAAATAAAATGCTTTTATATTATCCATTGCTGCAATCAATCTGAAGAAGGCTATTTTTTTCTTTGATATGAAGAAATTGCCAAACGAGGGTCGGATGAAGTTGCCAGTTGCTTATGCAAGTATTTTAAAAAATTTGATGCCCGCGGAGAAAACAATTTATTGCAAATAAGATAACTGTTAGGGACAAAATTAAAATTGGACAGTCATGAGATTGTGTTACGTCTATTAGCTTCTGGAAGGTACAAAAAAATTGTTCATGTTTTTCCACAGGTAATACTGTTATCTAGTGATAGGGATTTTGTCCATGTGCAAAAACATCAAACACGAATACTGCAGTTTATTCTCTTAGTGATTGGGAATATATTCTAAAAGAACCCAAAAAAAAAAGACCGTTCGTTGTAACTAGTCTTAAGTGGGAAGGCATTTTCAATTTTTCTCATCTAAAAGAGCAGTTTGTCCAAACTAATTTTGGCATAAGCAATAGTGTGAAGTTAGAATTTAATACTAATGATCCTTATACCATGCAAGCTTATAAAACATATTTAGGACTTTCCAGATAAATCCACTTGAAAGGAAAACGGGATAAGCCTAATCTTTCAATGGAAGAATTTATTATGGAATTACCGATAAAGTCTCCAGAAGATTTGCCCATTGAAGATCGAAACTGGTGCATGTAATGTATTGTCTTCAGTGGATTCCTCTAATTTATCATCCGTTCTACTATTCACTTAACTCAAAGCAAGTACTTTATTATTCCCTATTTGTCAGTTCGTTTGTTCAATATATCACTTACTCATCCTTTGCTGTCGAAGGATGCAAAATCGAAATTGCTCGAAATAAGTTTATTATTAAATTATGTAAAATTTTAAAGTTGAAATTATGTAAATAACTAAATCTATAATAAAATACGCAAGAATAAAAGAAGAATGGGAAGAATATTGTATTAATTGAAGGGAAGATACCTATATTTAAAAATATAAGAACATGTAAAACAAAAATAAATTTTTACCTGTCTTACAATTTTATCAGTATATCTTACCTCTTGAAGAATTTCCGGATTTGGTTCATAACCTCCAAAGACAATCGAATCTCCTTGCGATTTAAAGTAAAGACAACCATCGTGATCTCTAATACTGGGTGTACCTTTGGCTGAGGGAATGGATCCTGTAATTACGTAAGCATGCTTCATCGGAGTTAAGGGAAGGTCCAAATCGACCATTTGAGTTATATGTCGAGCCCAAGCCCCAGCTGCATTGACCATAATATTTGTTTTTATTACACCTTTTGATGTTTCTACTCCGGTTACTTTTTTTTCATTGTTTGGTGTTGGCACGGTCAATACTTTTGTAACTGCGGTATCTTCAAATACCTGAAATTCATAATTGTTTTAATAAAAATATATAAGCATTTTCCTTTTTTTATACATTTTATAATTTTCTCGTGATCTTTAAATTTATTTAATTAAATTTTCGATCTGATCTCTCTTTGAAACCTGAAACATTAGAAATATTTTGAAAAGCTTATATATCATCTCTAGCAACCCGTCTCGCGAATTAAAAACAACTGGGCTATAAATAATTTTACCTGAGCTCCCCGATTTTTTGCTCCTTTGATTAATGCCGCACAATACATCGAAGGATCGCAATGTCCATCACTGGGGGACCAGAGTGCTCCGTAGAACGCTTTTGGGTCCAGAATTGATGCCAATTTGTTTGCCTCAGTTGGAGATATTATATGACTTTCTATATTTAATAAATGTCCAAGTGTATGAAAACGTTTATATTCCTCCAACCTCTCCTATAAAACAAAAAAATTAATATAGTATATTTGTTTTTTTTTTCTTCGATAAATGATCAGGTCTCTTTACGAAAGATAACGGTACTATACTATAGATACGCGTTATTATTATATGATATATACATATTATGTTATTATGTTCCCCAAATTTTCACAAATTAAAAAAAAACAGATTAAAGGAGAAATAAAAAAAATTGTTATTTTTATATGTATATAAAATTAAAAAATGAACTCTAAGGTTAAAATTTTGTGTGTAAAAAGTGATGGATTTTAGACTTCGATAAGTTATTATGATTGAGTGGTTTATAAATGTAAATAATTTTTTCAATGGATTTTTCATTATATTTAATTGTATTGAATACTTTGCCATTTATTTTATTTTTTTTTCTTCTCCAGTTTTATTTATTGAACACTGGAAGAAGACAAAGATATTTTCTGAACGTACATAAAAATCCTGAGATAAAATTCAAACATATAATTTACAATTTTGGCGTCTGTAATTAAAATCATTGAGATATATTAAATATAAAACTAATTAAATTTATTTGTTGTTTGTTTGTTTTGCTAATTCTATTAAATTTTATAAAATCAGTAACTTTGTTTAAATTGATAATGATTTAAAATCATTATGTATATATATATATATTATTATACTTCTTCTTCCACAAACGCGGAAGGAACAAAAATAATTAAGGAATCCATCGGAAGTAAGTTTTTAAGAAATCTGAAGACCCAATAATTACAAAATTTAATACGATAGAAAAATTGTATAAAGATGTCAGGATAGGATAGCGGTGTAGCGGTAGGGGGAGGGGGGGGGTTACTCGAAAATTTTAAGACCTAGGAAGGGGACAGGTGCAGCTGCGGAGGTAGGGGTGCAGGAGTGAGGCGGGTGGGCTGGCTGTGGAGTCGTGGATCGGGTTGGGGCACTCGATGAGGGGAGTTGTTATATTTTGGTTGTGGGCACACTGATAGTGGGCCAAGGTGTTGGAACATTATATTATTATTGTCATTCTTAAGTACTTTTATGCGCATTAATACACATAATAGAATGATTCTTATTTACCACTTTACTACAAGAGATCCTGCGGTCACTATCTAATCCCTTGCGAGTTATAGACACGCAGACCATGTGTACGTTGATAGAAAATAATGATTCTTTTTCGGTACAGTGAATTGGATCATACACGGTCTCGAAAAAGTCTTATAGGTGTATGCTATTCATAAGAATCTACTTTCCTAGTTTAGCGATAATACATATCTGACTACTAGGCACAGAAATCTACGAAATCGTATTCAAGATTATCCTTGGTATAGCTATTGGAAACGTCCAGTAGATATATACATGACTGTCCACCAAATGATGTCTGCTTGCTTGAAAAGGCAATATTGCTTCCGAGACCAATGATTGGAGATGTCGTGACAGACGTACGCTTGTAATTCTGTGTAGAGATCTTCCGTGTGTAATGGAAGAGCGGGGATGTTGTAGGGTGGTTGGAAGGAGTGATATATCTGACTACGATAATCGCGAGTTTTAAAGGGTATGATTGATGATTGGGCGATATACATATTGGGAAATAGATTCTGGAGTAACAAGGTTATATAGACATATAGACAAGAAAACTTTGACACGATCTATGAGCGATAGTTTCAGATATAGAGATGTAATCACTAGTGGCTATGTGTAGTTTGTAGAGCGGTTAGATCGATAATAGAAAGGTTTGCGAACCCTGCAGACGAAGCGAGAACGGGTAAACTAGTCATGAATATACGTGGGAGCTTGGACGAGACGGCCTCGGGCAGGTGATTAGTTGAAGGAGTGTTGCAGTTACAAGAGAGTATCGAGTCAGTTGCTGTGAGCTGAAGCTATAGTGTTGGAGAGAAAGTAGATTGCAAAGTCGATTGATAAAGAAATCCTTGAATCGTAAAGTGTGCAGTTTCCTGGAATACGTGTTAAAATAGTTGTGGCACACCAGGTGAGAAAAAGAGATCCTTGGGTCACCGAAGAAGTTAACATGTAATGTTTGAAAGAAGTGATTTTCGTGTGTTAAGTGTATGGATGAATTGATGTCAAGGAGGATTAAATTAAGGTCACGTTAAATGGCTGGCTGAAGGAGCAAGATACTGAAACAAGAAGCCGAGGCGCAAGGTGGAAGAACACATTGCTGTGGAAGGTGGACAATTTCTTTGTGTGGTCCTAAAACAATCCAGGGAAGAAAGGTCAGATATTTTCCTTTTTCAAGTTGAAAGGTGTGTAAATCTATAAATGCGATTGTTTACCTCATTGTTGTTACCAGTTTTAAAGCATGATTAGACCTTTTTACGTTTATCAAATGTTTTAAAGTTTTGTTTCATAATAAAATAGATTTTGTTAAATATAAGGCAGATATAATTTATAAAGGTATCCAAATTTAAATTAGTTTCAAATTGTTTTGGTCTCAAGAAGAAAATAAGAATTAAATTTTCTTTTTGTATTAATGTCATTACATGCATATTCGCTGATTGAAAAGATAACGGCAAATTTAATAATTGTTTTTTTTTTTTATAAAATAAAAAATATCTGTATTTTATGTATTATACTTTTTATTATTATCCTTTGTTTTTCCTATCCGATAAATACAACTAGAAAACTTTGAACTCACTGAACATAAGAAATATCAGAAGTTTATTTTTTTAGGACATTGATAAACGAGAAAGTATTTTTTGTGATTGTTTCAAGTAAATAAAATAAAATCAAAAATACAAAATCATAACAACTGTCGCCCAAACGTGTGAAGCTTAGAAAGTATTTCTAGTTGGAATTTAAAAGGATAGGGAAAGAAAGCAGTTGATTGAGAATTTATTTCCGGATGGCTCAAAGTTTATAAATAACTGCATTTTATGACATAACATTTCAAATTTCTCTAGGTACAAGTTTTGCATGATATATTTTATTATATTGATTGATTTTTACAATTGACAAAAGTTTTAAATATTTATTGCATTTTATTTAAATTTATTGCATTTGGGATAAGAGAAAAATTTTTTTCGTCTTTGCAACATTACTCGAATTTCATATTTGGCGGGGATATTATTGCACAAATTTAAGAGTTTCATATCAGGCGGGGGATAAATTTGAACTACATGTCGATCACGAGAAGCAAAAGCAAAGAAAACAAAAAACAAGAAGAACATATAGAACAAGAAGACATTTTTGAAACAACAATCATGGCATCAGAAACAACAGGAATTGTCAGGAATAGAGAAAATGTTACAAATAATGATGCAAAAAATGGATAAAGTGGATAAAACAATGGAACAGAATCAAAGAGAAACTCACAAGAGAATGGAAGAAAATCAACGTGAAACGAAACAAGCAATAGAAAAAAACCGACAGGAAACACAACAAGTGATAACAAGAAGTTAAAAGTTGCTTAGAGAATGTAAAAAAAGAAATGGCAGAACAAGAGGTGGAAATTAAAAAAATGAAAAACAAAATGGAAAAGGAATTAGAAGAGTTACGAAACAAAGTTTGAAAACGCTCTGCAAGAAGATAAGGAAGAAATAGAAATAAGAGTTGAAACGGAATGAAAATTTAATTAAGGAAATAAGACACCAAAATAGAGTCGGAGAAACAAGAGAAATAGTTATCCAGAATTCCGGCGAAATAAAAAATACAGTTGGCGGGGATGTAAGAAAACTACACCCGTACCGTTCATGAATAATCTAAAGAGAAGATACAATACATGGGAAATTTTGAGACAGCTAAGGAAGTTATCAGAAATCATCTCAAGAGATGAGGCAAGTCTATGGTTTGACAGCAAAGTGGAGGGAATTTGAAAATTGGCAAGAATTTGAAAACAAATTTCTGAGTTTTTTCTGGGGAAAGACAGACTCAATTACAGATAAATAAGGAATTGCAAAATGGGAAATACCATGAGAAGATGGGTATATCAGAAAAAACATACGCATTGCAAATGTACAATAACGCAAAACATCTGCAATACAATTATCATCTGAGCAATTAGTCGAGTTGATTGCAAGCACACTTTGAAGACACAATGGAAGACCACATAAATTTACAAAACTACAAAGATATCGATAGTTTATGCCAATCCTACAAATAAGGGCATCACGGATACAGGAAAGAAGAGCAAGAAGGTCACAAGGAGAGATTATAGACATCGAGAAACTCAGAATACAGAGAGAGAGGACAAATTTTAGGAGGGATTACACTAGACGAGAATTTATTCCCAGGAGGGAAAACGAGAATCGGGAAAATAGACGAGGAAATGATGTTTCAGAAATCGGCCATGGAATGAAGACAGATATCGAGAAAATCAAACAGAAATAACACCCGCACCTATCCAGAAAACAGAAATTACAATAGACGAAATGAACAGGAATATCGTGGAAACCGAAACGGATATGACGACCAAAAGAAAATAGAAGAGAGGTAATCATACACCAATAGAAGAAGAATGAGGATGAAAGAAAATAGAGATGAGAGAGAAAATACGGAAGAACAACAGTCGGTTTTTACGAAAGCACCCACATAGAACAAAAAACCAGGCAGGAATTTTTTGTCACCCGAAGGAATTCATTAAATGGCAGGAAATAATGAGGAAAGAGAGAGTTAATTTAAAATTTGTAGATGGTTTTCATTAACAATAGACCAATAAAGATTTTGATAGACACCCGGGTCAGAAATAACCTTAATAAACAGAAAATTAATAGAAGAAGTACAGTTGACAAATTTAATATACAAAATACCAAGGGTAAATTTGGTGGGTGCGAATAAACGGATTTTGGCAACGATAAATGAAGGCATACGAGTGATGGTACGACTGGATAAAAAAATGTATGCATTACAATGTGTAATAATGCCAAACATGTCGCATGCACATGATTGTAGGAGTGGACGAACTGGCAGAAAAACATGTAGTAATAGATTTCAAAAATAACACGATGAAAACTGACTGAAGAAAAGGAAGGAGAACAGGAAAACGAACATGGGAAAC